ACTTCATCTATGATGCGTCTGTCAGGGGAGATGTAGCTGCCCAAATAACAAAACCTATCCATTGGCTCTGTTACTTCCCCAGTTAGAGTTAGGCTGGTTGCTGGACCAACCCAGTCTTCAAGTAACACTTTACACTTCGAAGGTGCAAAACGCATACCGAACATGGCTACACAAGCACTCAAACTATAAAGAAGCTTGCAATTTACCTGGGTCTTCACTTAGTAGCACAATGTCGTCTGTATACTCTAGATCAGACAGTCTGCCGCCTGGGAGTAAATCGATGTCACTATCCTCGCACGAGGGTAGGGCTATTTCCATAATCAAATCTATAACAAAGTTGAATAGAAAAGGGGAAATAGGGTAACCCTGTCCAACACCACTTTCAGCGGTGAACTCGGGTGAAAAATTGCCCTAAGCTCGGACTCGGCTTTGGCTGTTATTGTAGAAGGATTGTAATATTGAAATAAACTTCTCGGGCAAATCCTATAGGGAAAGGGAGCGCCAGAGTTTAGGGCGATCGACTACGTCGACAGCCGCTTTCAGATTGAGGAAGACAGCGATTATGAGTCTACGAAAAGGGTGTCTCTGCTCTAGAATTTGGCGAAGAGTGAAAATCTTGTCGATACAATCTCGACCAGGCCTGAAATCAGCCTGGTTCTCACGCGTACATCGTTCACTTGCGGCAGACAATCGACGGAGTATGATGCCGGCGAGAATTTTAGATGCAAGGTTGAATAAACTAATTCCTTTGTGGTTTTCACAAGAGGACCTATCGCCCTTCTTATAAACCGGTATCATCACTGATTGACAGAGAAGATGGGAAACCTATCTGTGAGGGCTGAATATGGTACATCGGCCAAGATGGAAAACACAACATCCTGACATTTAGAGACATTCAATGAGAGAGAATAATGCAAGTAAAAACGTCGTTCAATTTGCTTTGAATTTCTGAAGCCTCTTCAGGGGTGGCTGCTTTGCAAACTTCAAACAACTTCATGTGTGTATTTACAGCCAATGAATGCAGTAGGAATGGGACATTGTTTGACATACATTGAAAAGAAAAATGGGTAAACTATTGCACCTTGCAGAACACCAGAAGCAACTGGGCGAGTGGAGGATTCTTTGCCGTTGAGGTACGTAAACTGTCTTCCATTTGTGAAATAATCGTGGATCAATCTGCTAACGTTTGGATTAACACCACTTTCGGTAATCAGGTTGAGCAATACCGATTGACAAGTTTTAGGCTCTGCGTAAACTATGCCCTGTAATAATTGCCTCGTTCAACATTCTTTCCACACCAGACTGAATCAAGCAAAACAGTATTTTTAAAGATTGACTTCCTCTTAGTTCATTTGAAACCCACGGTAACCGCCTTGCTAGAAGATATTCCCATTTGTCTTTGCCATCGTGTAAAGGCTTATGGCCCGACTCGATAATACGAAGTTCATGCTGCTTGTCACCACACCTTAACAGCCTGATTCCCCTTGTTCTTCCTAACGTTCGAAGTCCTACTGCATTTATGAGTGCTTTTCCTTCCAAGATAAATTCACACAGCCCAATTCTCAGTCGCAAAGGGAACACGCAAGACATGAAGGCGGTAAGGCTNNNNAGCATGCCAGGCCCAAATCTTCTAAATCTGGACGAGACCACTATTGTTGGTTCCATAAACCGTATACACCGGGAGTCGTATTTGTACCAGTCCGTGCACTTAACCTACGGAAAACACCACTACCGGCGAGTAAATAAGGCCGTACTCGCCGGTCTACCACGCCTGATTGGTCGCTTATTCTGCGTGAAGAATTTCTGTATGCATAAACACTAGGTTCCAGGTCAATACGAGAGCCAGCGTTTACTTTACACCGGTTGGTAGCAACAACACTCATGTCTCATTAATTCGGTTGTGCACTGTGAAGGTACATGATGGGTAGTGGCTAATCTGGATTCTCGACGTTCATTCTAGCAGACGTTCCTACAGGTATACTCGGTATCTGCTTCTTTAGGTTCTATGTATTACTTATTGACTCACGTAGACTTTGGTTGATTGATACTTCATCAAACAGTAAACTGACTGGTCTCAGAGCTCGCACAGACGTCCACAGAATCATGTTTTTCTATCTGCTTTACTCACCTGCCTTGGCCTGAGTAACCTGGCAATAATCAGCCCACATGCAAATCGTGGAACGTTGTTCTTTTATAAAGAATATTTCACCGCGATTTGTTTGGCAAACAGTCTGAACTCAGACATGTTACAATTATCAATGTAACACCTCCCCAGTTTGAATAAACCTAACGAGGGGATTAGATTACAGTGACAAATTGTGTGGAACGCCTCTTATTTACTAACGTACCACCAGACACGACACGACCTTGCTGACTGATACCAAACAAATTAGCCTTTTCTAGGCGTAAGTTTCAAACTTTCCGTTAAAAAGGTATTGTACACCCTGCCCACAGGCTATGGACCTCTCCATTACATATGGCTGTTAGAAAAAAGATGGTGACAGCTGGAGACTATAAGGCGATTATCGAACACCTAATGCAATGACCTGTATCGAGTTATCCTGTTCCTTACATACACGAAATCATGATGTCACCACAAAGTACGACTATTTTTCAATTGATTTGGTTCATACCTAGCACTAAATCCCAGTCGCTCCTGAAAGACGTCTCTACTTGTTTCTATCTGTCTGACTTCCTACGTAGGTTTTTTGTTTGGCAAAATACTGCTGAGATATTCCGATATCGATGACATTTTTCAAGCTTAAATCAACAAACAGAAGGCTCGGCTGGCATTTGTCAAGTGGGTGCCGTTGCGTTATTCGGCTGACTGTGAAGGGTTGAGCGTATGCTGCAGCAATTGGGCTAGTGCTTCTCTACAGTGCAGAGACTTGATCATCAAGGGGAAAGGATAAAAATAGACTGTTAAAATTTGAACACCGCTGTCTACGCCGCATTGCTCAAGTTTGCTGGGGAGTTGGAACGAGCAGTGCTGAAGTTAGATGCACAGTTTAAGGTAATCACATTTTCAACCTAGATAGACCACGATGATTCGGATATGTGATGCATATATCAAATAAAAAAGTTGACACGGTGCGCCATGGTTTTCGAGGCAGATAGCAGATCGAAAATGGTTTGAGGTGGATAGACTAATACCTGACACAGGAGTGTGCAAATCCCAACGAG